GACTGACTGCGTTCCAGCTCCCTTCTACCCCTCTCTGATCCCCTTCGCTCAACTTTAGACCTTGTCTCTCCCAGTCATCGCACCTTATGATCAGTTCTCTCCATCCCCCTATTTCCACGGTGCACTGCTTTTACTATTGTTACCTCCTATCTCCATCTCACATTCTCCCCATTATCGTTTGCAAAGGTGCTTCCCTATTGGATGTGTTCCGTCCCGTCCAAGGATTTTACCCATTCTAAGATGGGCAAAATAGCTAATGCCCATCCTAGGATGGGCACTGAGATGGCCCATTCTCGGATCGATCGACTTGATATGCACCAATATAATAATAATATAAACGCACGTTGATATATATATTTTAAATAAAAGCACGTTTTAAATTAACAAACGGGAAAACGAAAAAACTACTGTAATTCCACGTGAAGCCTCGGGCTCCGATTCCTGATCTGTCAGATGGAATTTTGACGGCTGCAAGCGATCTAGAGACGGCTGACTTGCTAGCTCGCCTATTCTCTCAGTATTCTTCACCTCCTTCTACGCCCCCGGACTGCCCACAGCTACCCACAGTCACGGTTGTCGAGCCCTTCGAATTTCAGCAATTGAGTACCACTAGTGTTCTTTGGACCCTATCACACCTTCCTCGGTACAAAGGCACGTCTGGACCCCTCCCTAATCGAATCCTTCGAGAAACAGCTCCCAGTATTTCCGATTCACTACCAGCTATAGTTTAGGTTTTCCTGCCTGATAGGCTGATACCGCCTGTCTTGCTGTATAATTGTGCGCTTTGGACCCTATCGCAAACGCTAACCGACGTCGTCAATGTATGGCACCGGCAGAAACTACGCACCATCATTGGTATCACGTACCCACAACGAATCTCTAACACAGCGCTGTATGCCAGAGCCGAGCAGACCACACTATCCCAAGTCTGCAGGCAACAAAGACTGCTGTGGTTCGGCCATGTAGTGAGGGAAGGCGCAGAATCCTCCTCTTTCCAAGCCCTCCAAATGTCAATCAACACAACAGACATACGACGACCCCGAGGACGACCACGTCTGAGATGGATCGACGTCGTAAAGAAAGACTTAAAATGCATTAATCTCTCGCTTCTGGATGCTGTGCAATCTGCTTCTGACAGAGCTGCTTGTATTGGCTCGAAATTGTCAACAGATGCGTTGACCTGATGCAATAGACGTCCTTAGCAAAAGTACGATAACGGTAACTTTTACGGTACTCACTCCCAGCCGTGACAAAAGACGTTATCGGGTAACGGAAAAACGTTACAGAGCTCAAAATAACGGGCCGACGTTCGTTATGGTAATTCTGGAAAAAATGCAAAAACTCGCATTGTTTTTTTCAACTGGCCGGAGATGAGAAGCACGTACAGATCGAGATGAGAGTTGAGATTGCTTCCTCTTGTGACATTTAGCTTTTTTTGGCGAGTTTTGCCTTTCAGTTGACAATGTCTGCGTCCTCTGCTTCGTGCCTTTCAGCCTCTATCCCATCTGGGAAACAAAGGACCAGTTCCACGGCACTCCTGAGGAAGAAATTCATCGGCCTCTCTTTGACGTGCTGGAGCTGGAGAACCCTTACAGTATTCGGTGCTGCGTTTAGGAAAGGGTTTCCAAGGACCTGGGAACAGCGAAAACTCATTTTCGCCGTGCTTTTGTTACTCCAGAGTGAAAGACCTCGCCAAGGTATTCTTTCGGAACGACAGCAAACTAATCCCTGGTTCAAAATTTTGAATTTCCCACACCTGTTTCCACGAAAATTCATATCGCCATGGTTGTCACGACTTGTTGATCGCTGAACCTGGTCTTGAGCAAAGCACACGCCGTGTTACACGTGTGCAGGTCTCACGTCTTCTCCAAATTCCATTCGTTCGTGGACCAGCATCTCGAGCGTCCATGCAATTCGTGGGCAGCGTGTATTGGAACAGGCTTCCGGCAAATATTCGTACGGCCATGAAGATATTCTGGGTTTCAAAGCCCGGCTGTGCCCAGATGTTCTTGACACGATTTCTCTGTCTTGACTCATTCGTCAGACATGTGCATTTTGATCTTTTGGTTTGGTCTCTAATCGACAAACTGACTTTTCCCCTCAAATACCTCAACTTCTCTATTTCTATTTCATACATCTGCTTCGTTTATTCCTTACTCTTTTCTTTCTATCTTTTTCTTTTCTTTCCCTTGTCATTTAATCACTGTCACTCACATACAAATACCGTCATAAAATATAAAACACAAGATTTTCTCATCTTTTTCTATTTCTTGTTTTTCATTAGCTTTAGCATGTTCATTCACATTCTTCATCATTTGTGAGAACTAGACCTGGTCTAGTGAGTAGGCATTCTACTGCCTGTAATTCTGGTGAAGTAAAATAAAGTAACAACAACAACAACAACTACTACTACTTCGTCTGAATTATAACGTACATTGTGCTAAGGGAAAATTCATCTTGAACGATCCGAAGTACGGAAAGGTTTGCGTTTACGTTAGCGTGTTTTTGCTAAGGATATCTAATGAGTTATATGCGAACTGTCATCATTATTATTATTATTACCAGCTATATTTAACCTCAGTATCACCTCTGGCATGGTTCTATCAGATTTGAAAACCTCTATTGTTATCCCAGTATACAAAGGTAAAGGAAGCAAAGGCAGTGCTGGCTCTCATTGCCCCATTTTCCTGCTCCACGGAGTTGCGAAGGTGTTCGAAGGTATGTTGAGCAAGCAAATGACTACATTTGTGGAGGCCAATACCCTCCTCCGTAAGCACCAGTTCGGGTTTCGCCGGCAGCGATCCACCACTGACCAACTAGTCCAAATGACATCCTCAATAAGAAGAGCCTTTGACAGCAAAGCTTTGTGCGACGGACTCTACCTGGACCAAGAGTACATATTGTGCAACTCGACGATCCCCCAGCCCATGGCGGAATATTTTTGTGACATCAGTCTTTGGCGGCGGTTTGGCTCACTGATGCCATCATGCGTAGCCACAGATCAAAGTGTACAAATGGTTTGTACATTACAGCCACGGTAGTCGAAGCAGAACAACGGACGATAGATCGATCATCGATGTGTCTTGAACTTGACGAACTCTCACCGGTATCTACAAAACAAGCGCGGGAAAGCATACCCACTTAATCATGCTTCTGCCAAAGAATGACGCAATAATAAAATTCCGCCGTGGGTGAACCCATCGCAGCTCAAGATAGGAGTTGCACACTCTTGGTTATGTACTCTTGCCTGGACTTATCAAAAGCATTCGATAAAGCCAGCCATTCTGTCCTGTTGCATCTTCTCTCCTCATTCTGCTCATCATATTCAGTCAAAATAGCTCGGACCCTTTGTCTGTGGACGCTCTATTCATGTTCAAATTGGTAATCAAGTTACATCACTACATCCGGTGGGGACAGGAGTGGCGCAGGGTTCTCATCTAGACCCACTACTAACTAACATAAGTTACTGATCGACATTATCCAAACGGTGACTACCAACACCTTGAGCCTTTTTGCGGATGACTCCAACATTCTGTGCATTTCCCTACCGACTACCACAATTACGGCTCACT